GAAGTTAATATATTTACTTTTGCCAAGTTAATATATTTACTTTTGACATCCCCTCTGTAGACTAGAGAGAGGAAGTTTATATATTTACTTTTGACATCCCCTCTGTAGACTAGAGAGAGGAAGTTAATATATTTACTTTTGCCAAGTTAATATATTTACTTTTGACATCCCCTCTGTAGACTAGAGAGAGGAAGTTTATATATTTACTTTTGCCAAGTTAATATATTTACTTTTGCCATCCCTTCTGTAGGTTTGTTGACAGAGGATAGATATATCTTCCATAGCATTATTGTAAGAGACAATTGATATGAAACTCTGAAAATTAAATGTTTATATCTGTGCCCGCTACTTCGTGATCATTTAACAGACCGATGTTGATCTGCCCCTATTGCAATATTGTTAAATTTGTATCATTTCTAATAAAGTCTTCTTGGTTCTTTTGATTAGCCTTTAGTCAGACCAAATGTGACAGTGGTATACGGAGTTCATGACTTGCCATTCAGGAAAGTTGATAGTATATAAGTTATTCCTTTGTGGTCTCTAACAATGTCAACACTTGCGTCATACCTGGCCAATACAACGGCTATGAAACGAATTTCGGTGCAAACCTGGATATCCGACTTCGTAATGGTTGACGTTCTGCTGCCATTTCAGAAATATGAGTTGCCCACCGATGAGAGGTTTACCACTTGGTCTTTCTATTGACATTCCGCCACATGGCGCCATGTTCCTGTTACAAGAACGACTTCCAGGCTGGAAAGATGCAACACAAACATGTGCAACCCGATTCCAAATATTGTAAAATTACGTGTATGTAGAAAATATAACAATATGAGACAAAAGTAATAAAAATGAAGAACCTCAAATTTGCGAATAAAACGTTCCTTTTGTTCATCAGAACATACTTATTGTAGATGATTTATTCATAAACTGGAGTATCACACATACATGTTAGAAGGAAATTGTTGTAACAAAGGGGAAACGATGGGTCGCCAATTGAAGATAAGTCATTATCCGGCGTTTCAATAATGCTGTTATAGAGGGAGCCGTTGTCATTTCGACAAACTACATTTGTATATCTTCCTTACTCAGTATTCTAGTGAGTATTTTACTCGCACGTTCAAACCCCTGTTAAATTGCTATATAGTGTTCTGTCATTCATTCACCAATATAACGCTTCACAATTAATTAACAAGTGGAATGACTGTGATTGTCAGACTGTTGTCCCGTCAGTATCGTGCTATTGACGATAAACATAAAAACACAAATTCAATTAAATATCCGTGCGATAGATAACTCGTATCATGGCACATCAATCTGATTAAAATCATCTGTTACATGGCTCCGCCTGAACGTAGTACGAAGTTAACAGAGCCTATCGGCATAACCGTTGAATTGCTAAGAGGGAACAATACTACACTGTATTCATGCATTTATACTACACTACTGTACGAGGGAGGGATTTGGTCACGGTGGTGGGGTTGGGGCGGAGGTACACCTAGAGGAGGGGTGGGGGATGGTTGATACTTACTGAGGAGATATCCATGTCGCCCCGCTGTCGGGGTGAGATGAGACATAGGTGACAATTACATCGTGTGGTTACCTGCAGCAGCAACCCGACACACACTAGCAGCAGTGTATATAACGTCATTCTTACTGATCACCAAAAAATAATATCTATACTACATATACAGTATTTATGTCGATCATCTATGTTTGCTTGGTAGGGTAGCCTGCATTTGGTGCCTACATGTAGTAATTTAGTTAACTTTAAGATAAACGTTGTCAGTGGTATGGGGTTACACATTGACGATTTGATAGCGTTAAGTATAGCACATCTGGCTACTGTTTGCTGTTTAACTGTGAAGGATGATGCGACATAGTGATAGGTTATCAGCATGACCTCAACAGTGTAGACTTGATTAGTTTGTGCACTAATATCTAATATATGTATACATGAAAATAACTCTTTTCTGGTTATTATAGACGTCTATGAGTAAATGTTGAGGATTCATTCAGATACAATGTCTAAGACAGCCCCCCCAAGAATCCCGACGTTAAATGAAACCCAGTCTACTGCATGTGGTCTACATGATTTTACATGCACATATTAAATCTTTGCGGACTTTTTATACGTGTCGTTTCTTGTTTTACTTTGGAATCCAACGTCACACAGGAAAACAAAATGGCTGCGTCCAGTCTGTCGGGGAAAGTGGCCCTTATAACAGGTATGGTAATGACAACAGCAGAGTCATAATGCAGCCGAGCACTTGTGTAACGCCCATTGCATTTTCCATGGCAAATTTATATTGAAAGATTTCGTAATCATTTTAAACCGTCATATCGGTGAAATCAAGTCTAGCATAGATCTTTTCGACAAAGGTTAAAGCATTGTTAGCTTGATTGTAACTGTAAGCAGAGGAGTCTGAATGTCAATAATTTATAATACTTACATAAAAAAAAATGTAGTACTTATGTATGATATATTTTTCATATCACTTGTATTATTAAGTATTGACAGAATTTCGGACTTCTGTGCTGTGCGTGATATGCATTGTTGTCATGCATTTATCAGTTGGATAATTCTAAGACCTGCAAGTTTCCTCTTGCCTTAATTTACACCAGACTAAGACATTTTGACAAAAAGGTGTCTGCTACACCAGACATATATCAGTCAAAATGTCCTATTCTGGTGTAAGGGCAAGAGGAAACTCAGGCTAGAAGATAATTAGGTAGTATGAATTATGAACTTGGGAAAGCTGTGTTCTTTTTGATACTAGATTCCATCAATTTAGATTATTTTTCCACTTGGCCTTAGTTAAAAAGCACACTTTTTTTTTTTAAATAGGGTATATGATAAAAGATTATAAACAGGGGTGATCTGGAGTTGTGAGAGGTATATGTACAGATGATCTGTACATGTACCTCTTACAACTATAATCTGAGATGTAGAACTGTGAAAGCAGCTTTGAAAGCATCAACAGTACTAGTACTAGAGTCAATTAGCAGACACCAAAGTCTGAGGGAGATTCCACAGGGTTATACTTCTAGCAGAGAATGAGTTGTTATAGCAATATCTGGCGGTTTTGCATTTATTGTTTGAGGGCATATAGCTGGTGATGTCTTGAGCGAGTGCATATAAGTTGGGTACGATTCTGTACAGCATGACAGATATTGTGAGAGTCCCAAACTGTGGCACTGTATTCTATTTTGGGACATACCAGTTTTATAAGCATAGTTTTTGATGCGCTGAAATTTACTTTTAGATTTTGTTATATTGGCTTTGAAAATAGCCGTAATGTCACACTACCACAATTGGTACAATTTTGACAGTTTTTTTAGTGATCTTTAAAAATTCAGATCATGTATCTAGAATGTTTCTTGATTCTTGACAAAGACTACTTATGGTGGTTCATTTTCAGGAAAAGTTTTATATCTAAGTAATTTGTTTTTGAAAATAGAACGCTAAACTCGGAGTGAGATTTCATCCGTTTTTCGGCCGTAATTAGTACCCAAATTGATACACCATATCACTGGCTATAGGATTTGTTTTTATTTCTACAAGTTGATATGTGCCGATTACAACAAAATATATTGCTTTTATAGATACCATACTGAACTATAATTGTATATATTGACTTTTATATAATCCAGTTATAAGGACCAGAAATTAACATTTAAACATGCTTATATTTATAACCCCTTGAAAATCCTCCAAAATTTCGTCGACTTATGTCGTTTTTACTGGTTTTCTGATGTGTTTTCTTTGAAGTCATCGTTTACTCTTAAAATGTTCCTTAGAACAAAACTATTCAGCTTAAATGCTGATAAATACCTCTTTTGTTATACTGTCAAAGGAAAATCTCAAATTTAATTTTTAAAGTACTATTCGAACAATTTTCTGACCATGTACCAATTTGGGTAGTGTACCAATTGTGGTAGTGTGACGTTACCAATGTGTATTACCTTATTTTCTAACCAATGTCAACGAGGCCAATCTGGAAGAAATTTGATGTTTACTATACACTATGGAATAAGAGATGTATAGAGAAAATAAAGCAGAGCTAGTATCTCTGTTCATCTTTCTTTCTGATTTACAGACTAAATATCAGATTCCTATGACAATACACTTTGTACATGTAGGTATACGTCTTATAATTTATTCATGTACGTTTGTTTAGTCTTATTTATTCAATGCATGTAGGTCTATATTGTGGATACTCTACACATCTAATACAGTGCACAGGGATCTTTGAGTTAAGACAAATTACATGTTCTGTATATAATGTGAAACATTTCCTGAAGTGAATTAAGGGATCAAGTACTATCAGATATTTTAAATTTACTCGGGTTATTCAATTATAGAGTAAAAATCATCAGAATAAATGACTTTCAATGCATACGTTACATTGTATATATCTAACACTTAATATTTTCATTAATGAACCGATTATATAGATTAAGGAATTTGTAATCAAAAATTGGAATCAGAAAGGACAAACCGATCATTTTTTTTATTGTAATTGATCATCTTCCCAGCACTATCGTATAGGTTCCCCTCTTTAGACTCTTGAATATACAAGAACAGCATATATATACTGTGACACTAATTCAAAAATCATAGTAAAATAATTACTGGTGTGATCAATAGGCCTAGAATGTTCATATTTATCAAGTCTATTTCCAAACATTCAGAAAAGTCAAGGTTTATTAATTAATTTTTCTATTTACAGGAGCTAGTTCTGGTATTGGAGCAGCCACCGCTGCTTTGTTTTCAAAACTTGGTGCCAGTTTAGCTTTAACTGGGCGTAAAGAAGACAATCTTCAGAAAATTGGACAAAAATGTTCAGAGGGTAACGGTGAAAAGGTATGTGTTATTATTTTTTTCTTAATATTGTTACAAGGCATGTAATTAAACTTTTTCTTAAAACTTGCTCCCAATTTGTTATAAAGGATCTCATAATTAATGGAAAATTTTCAAAATGAACCAAATGTATGTTCTTTTTCATTGGATAGACGTTGTGACATTGTCACATTATATTACCCTTCATATAACTTCAGACCTACAGATAACACTTGTTAATAATATTACACATGCACTAATACATTTGAGTATACAATACATTCCATTTTTGTTATTTTTAGCCCCTCCTAGTTCCTGGAGATCTTGCTAAAGAGGAGGACATTAAAAAAGTCTTTGATAAAACTGTGGAACACTATGGAAAGCTTAACATTTTGGTTTGTAATTCGAACATTTTTATTATTTTTTATTTATAATTGTGCTTGACTTCAAAATCAGTTCATTATCTATCAAATTCTTAAAAACAACTAGGAGACCTTAAGCTTGGTGGCCTTAATTAAGGCCAAAGTAACATTTAAGTGCAGTTATAGCATGAAAAACTGAAAGATTACCAGTCACACTTAAACGGCCATGTTGGTGATTGATGATCAGACTCAGTTAACTTTTGTTCACACTAAAAATTCACCACAAATATTAATACATTTTATGATTCCTTTTAAATGTAGCCAGTCTACCATATGGAACAAACTGAAAGTTTTGATAAATTGCAAGTTAAGTTTCGCTGAGTGAGGATAAACAAACACATAATTACATGTAAACAGGGGAGAATACCTAGTATTTTACTGTGTTTTACGTTGGTATGTTCTCAGGTGTGATTTTAAATGTATGTCTTGTTTGCACCAGGTCAACTGTGCAGGGATCATTGAGTTAGGTAGTATTGAAACAACCTCCCTTCAACAGTATGATAAGATCTTCAATGTAAATGTAAGGTGGGTACAAATTGTGTTCAGGCTGGAGTCCTACAATATGCTATCTGACAGTGTCATGTCAAATACAGACTTCTTATGGTCTTAACATTCAGGAATATATAAACAACCATAACATAACATGTCCCAGTAATACGAAACTAACTGCGTTTTGTTGTAGATAAGGGTAATAAAGACGGTTGCTATATATAGCTATTATATCCATTTGTTGAGTTTATATATAATCTGTTACATTTTAGGTGTGTCAGGACATGTGTGTGTTGTTTATACATTATATTCTCAAATCGTTTGTCAGTTTCTTTTTATTTAAAATGCTCTCTGGTTCGTTATGGCTTTTTTGTGTTGTCCTAGACAATGAAAAACATAACCAACTTTATCATTATAGACTATTGCTAGACTGTTACCTAAATCTAAAATATAACTCCTCCCACACCACTCACTAGGTTTTCATGTTATTTTTGCATGTCATCAAATTAAAGGCAAAGCCAAACTTTGTTAACAGAAAAATAAAGAAAATTAAAAGAATAATTGAAAATTGAATGAACTCATTATCTAAATTATTTACTTAGGTTATGTGTAGTCATTGTCATACACTTACAAAAAAACCACCTCAGTGATGCAGGAAGTTTTCATGTAGTAAATCTGACCAGTTGTCTCCCTTACACTGCTCTATTAACTTGAAGTATGTTTTCCTCCCACACAGATCTATCTATTACCTGACCATGCTTGCTGTTCCATACCTGGTCAAATCTCAAGGAAACATTGTCAATGTGTCCAGTGTGAATGGAATACGTTCTGTAAGTACTTGGATATTTCTACACTAGCTGTTTTTGTACAGTAGTTATGAGCCTTTCCAGTATCCTATCTAGAGGATCCGATGCCTGATCTCTCTGTAGTGTAAAGCAGGGAACGTTATAATTGTAACTTTTTATCAGCTATCTTCTATATACAATACAGTGTTAAAGATAATCATTCCTTTTTTACTGAAATGTTTTCTAAAAAAAAAGAGGATGTCTTTTATTATGATATTCATTATACACTGACTTCTTGTTCAAAACTAATGTACATGTTTCAATATAATTTCAGTTTCCAAATGTGCTGGCTTACAACATGTCAAAGACTGCTCTGGATCAGTTCACAAGATGTGTTGCTCTTGGTAACAATGTTTGTCCTCAGTTCAAATATGTTTGTTAAATGTAAATTAATTGAAAATTGAATGAACTCATTATCTAAAGTAATTGGTTACATTATGTGTAGTTATTGTCATACACTTACAAAGAAAAACCTCAGTTATGCGAGAAATTTTCATGAAGTAAATCTGGCCAGTTGTCTCCCTTACACTGCTCAATTAACTTTAAATTAGTTATTCTACCAATCCTACTTATGTAGTTTGTTTGTAATGTTCAATATTTCAATATTCTTATATAACCCAGGTATTACATACAAAATTGTAATTGCATATTACAAATTTTGATATAATGTAATATCGAGAATGAACAGCTTATTGTTAAAGCATATTTATTTTACGTGCATTATAACTTAGTATGTGCAGCAATGTCGTAATATTCTGCACAAAAATGTTAATCCTATGTATATACACAATATTCAACATCATTTTTAGTGAAAAATATATATGCATTTTGTTGTTTAACATTAGAACACTTTCATTTTACTGAAATGAAATATAGTGATTATATTTTCTGCTTTACATAGTGAGTACAGAAAAGTGTGAAGTAATGAAATCGGCTGTAGTTTATCCCTTTGTTAATGACCATCTGCTGAATTGCAGTTATTTAGATTGTTACATTAGTTTTAAACCTTTATTCTTTATTTCAGAACTAGCTCCTAAACAAGTTAGGGTAAACAGTGTCAAGTAAGTTCGAAGACAAACTTGTTTTGAACAATTGGTTTCTCTCTCATGATATAATTTCATATAACTTCAAAGTTTCTTTAAATACAAAATTACTCTTTCAGTTTATCTCGAAAGCTCCTAATCAAGTTTATTCCTCATAGATTGGACACGTATTATATCCCTTCGAGCTATTATTCACAGCATCTCTGCTAATGTTCAATCTTGCAAGTTAATTGTAAGATACCACCAGACTCCTAATATGAACCCATCATCATAAGCATAATGCTCCACCTTATTGTCTCTGAAAAAAGAGATATTGGTCTAGTAAGAAGACATCACTTAAACTATAAACTACTGTCCTGGTGTATGCATTATCTAAAGATTAATTTTGGTATTTTTCAGTTTGACAAATGTCACCATGAACTATTTCTTGAATTATTGTGTATTTACAGTCCCGGTGTCATTATCACCGAGTTACAGAAGAGAGGTGGCCTAGATGAGGAAGCTTATGCCAAGGTAAGGTCAAGGTCATAGTTATAGGTCAGAACAGGTAGATGTGCAAACATCAAAGTCACAGGTATAGGTCAAAACAGGAAGAGGTGTAAACATCTAAGTCGCAGTAACAGGTCAGAACAGGTAGAGGTGTAAACATCAAAGTCACAGGTATAGGTCAGAACAGGTAGATGTGCAAACATCAAAGTCATAGTTATAGGTCAGAACAGGTAGAGGTGTAAACATCAATGTCACAGGTACAGGTCAGAACAGGTAGAGGTGTAAACATCGAAGTCACAGGTATAGGTCAGTACAGGTAGAGGTGTAAACATCTAAGTCACACTAACAGGTCAGAACAGGTAGAGGTGTAAACATCAAAGTCACAGGTATAGGTCAGAACAGGTAGAGGTGTAAACATCTAAGTCGCAGTAACAGGTCAGAATAGGTAGATGTGTAAACATAAAAGTCACAGGTATAGGTCAAAACAGGAAGAGGTGTAAACATCAAAGTCACAGGTGCAGGTCAGAACAGGTAGAGGTGTAAACATCAAAGTCACAGGTATAGGTCAGTACAGGTAGAGGTGTAAACATCTAAGTCACACTAACAGGTTAGAACAGGTAGAGGTGTAAACATCAAAGTCACAGGTATATGTCAGTACAGGTAGAGGTGTAAACATCAAAGTCATGTGTACAGTTACAGGTCAGAACAGGAAGAGGTGTAAACATCAAAGTCACAGGTATATGTCAGTACAGGTAGAGGTGTAAACATCAAAGTCACAGGTATAGTTCAGAACAGGTAGAGGTGTAAACATCAAAGTCACAGGTACAGGTCAGAACAGGTAGACATGGTTATTGATTGTCTTTGCTGGAAACATTTAACTCAGAATTATTGAATACATTTTATAGAATTGAATGCCATTGTGTGTCATCATCAATTACTCTTTCATTTCAAGGTTACAGTGGCAATAAAAACAAAGTGAAGATTTTTGAACGAAACATTTGCACACATATATATCTAGTAATATGACATTATATTTAATGTTGTTGCAAAGACATTAAAGTTGACTCTTGGCAACATAATCATCAGTAGCAGTGTGACTTGATGACATCACTGGAACTGTGACGTGTAATTCCTACCTTTATGATATATGTTTTCTCATATGAAGCTCTAGCACACTGTCTGTGTCATCACTAGCATTGTAACTGTGTCATCACTAGCATTGTATTGTCAATACTTGCATTATAACTGTGCCGTCACTAGCATTGTAACTGTGCCGTCACTAGCATTGTAACTGTGTCATCACTAGCATTGTAACTGTGTCATCACTAGCATTGTA